GTAAGCTGGCTGCTCTCTGGTCTCAAGTGATTTCTTCCTAAACCTGCTGCCCCCAAGGATATGACATAAGTATATTAGGAGCAAAGACAAACAAACAAACAAATCCTAACAAAGGTGTAGGCCCATTACAAATGGAGATGGTAAAATAGTTTATAATGATGCAAATAAGGCAGACGTGTTCAATAAACATTTCTGGTTTTGGATAGAAGCAGGATGTGTTTTCATACTATGTGAGGAGGGTGTACCACTCTGAAATCCATTGGTAACTAAGGAGGATGTTAAACAGTATCTACTAGAGAGAAACTTTTTTTTAAAAAATCAGCAGGCCTCAATAGCTTATCAAATCTTGGAATAAATAGAAATGTAGGACTGGAAGGAACCTGACGAAGGCAGATAGTCCATCCCTCCACACCAAGACAGGTTTAAGTATTCCTAGTCCATCCCTGATAGATGTTTGTCTAACTTGTTCTTAAAAGTCACCAATGACGTGTGTGACAGGTTCAGTCACAGAGACCCCCTTGGGACTTTCACCTGATGTTCTGAAATTACCTCTGAGCCTGTTTTCCCTGCCAGTTGGGACTCCACAAACCTGCCTTGTTGAGCCACACATGCTAGCCTTCTGCAACACAGACCAATGTATAAAAAGTAGGATTTAAGTGGTTTCAAGTAATAACAGACAGAACAAAGTAAGTCACCCAGCGAAATAAATAAAAAACATACAAATCTAAGCCTAACACATTAAGAAACCGATCACAGGTAAAATCTTACCCTCAGAGATGTTCCAATAAGCTTCTTTCACAGCCTAGACTCCTTCCTAGTCTGGGCCCAATCCTTTCCCCTGGTATAGTCCTTATTAGTTCCAGCAGACATCTTAGGTGGAAAACAGGGGCTCTCTCATGACTGGCATCCCCGACTGTCCTGCTCCTCCCCTTTTTATAGCTTTGGCACAAGGCGGGAAACTTTTGTCTCTCTGGGTCCCTACCCCTCCTTCTAAATGGAAAAGTACCAAATTTAAGATGGATTCCAGTATCATGTGACATGGTAACATGTCCTGTGAGACCTCATTCTTCATTACCCACAGGCTGGCCCACACATACACAGGAAAGCTTGCAGGTAAATAAACCTTCTACATGCAATTGTCCTAGTCAATGGGAACTGTCCAGATTCTAAACCACCATTAATGGCCCACACTTTGCATAATTACAATAGGACCTCAGAGTTATACTTCATATTTGTAGCTTCAGATACAAGAATGATACATACATTCAAATAGGAGAAATATATTCAGTAGGTTATAACTTTTGTTATGATACCTTACAACAGATCTTTTGTATAAAGCATATTCCAGTTACATCATATTCACGCTCATAAGCATATTTCCATAAAACATATGGAGTGCAACATCACAATGGGGATTCCACAACCTCCCTTGTTACCTTGTTCCAGTACTTAACTATCCTTATAGTTAGAAAGATTTTCCAAATATCTGACCTGACTCTCCCTTGCTCCAATCTAAGTGGATTAATTCTTGTCCTACCCGTCGTAGAAAGAGAGCCCAAAACTGGACAGAGTGC